CAAAATGACAACAAAGAGACACAAAATGACTACAAAGAGACTCAAAATGACAACAGACACAAAATGACTACAAAGAGACTCAAAATGACAACAAAGAGACACAAATGACCACAAAGAGACTCAAAATGACAACAAAGGGACACAAAATGACAACAAAGAGACAAAATGACAACAAAGGGACACAAAATGACCACAAAGAGACTCAAAACGACTACAAAGTGGTACAAAAATGTCCCTGAGAACTTATTTTAAAGAGACACAAAGAGACAAAATGACAACAAAGACACATAAAACAACTCAGAGATGGACGACTATGAAGAGACACAAGACGACTGACAAAAAGATACAAAACAAGCACAGAGAGACACAGAGAGACACAAAGAGACAAACAAACAATGTAGCTGCATCGTTTGTCTTTTTCAGTCTCGTGGGGGCCTTTTACATGTCCCATTGTCTCATAATTTGTCCATGCACACTTGCTGCAGCTCCACTTGCCCTCCATAACGGTTGTTTAGAAGACCGGTTTAGTGCTGTTGCAGTCGTCGTAATTCGGATGACACACTCATCCGTCCACATTTACTCACACTCACAATGGTGTGTCTCTGTTTGTGTTTCCAGCTACTATAATGCACTTTCAATCAAAACTGTTATTGTTGGTCCTAATGGTGTTTTATCTGCTGTCATTCATCTTGCAGTGGAAACCTGATGCTTGGGACTTTGTTAGGACTTCCAGACTGAACCACAGATGGTTATTCAGGTTCACACACTGAACAGGGATACAGGCATTTATTACAGAACTGGTTTTCTTGGAAACCTCCTCTTGAAATGGAAACTTGTGCATTAAATATGTAGCTTCCAAAAGGATGGATTCTCATATATTTAGCTGCTGCTTAACTTAGCCTACATCTCGATATGTTGGATTTCGCTTGCTTTTCTCATTTTATATGAACACAAGTATTGAATTAATCAAGTATTGCTTAAAAGTCCATGTTCAGTGACACGAGCGTGGATACCAGCAGGGAAATCAACATGTACATTTTGCAGCTTTGCAATATGGCTGGAAGCCTGTGTTTCTCTTTGTGGTCTCGTGCAGCCCCGGCGTGCGGGTCCGCTCGAGCGCAAACGGACGCGCAACCAGACGTTCGTCGTTAAATCCCCCGCAACGTTCCCGTCCGGCGCTCGTGCAAGCACACGACCAATAAGTGAGAAGTTTATCTGAATGAATCTCACCTCGTTCACGTCTCTGCAGCCGCTTCAGTCCGCCGGGGGAGACAAGTCCTGAGTCAGCAGCCCTCTCTCTCTCTCTGTGAGATGCGCCTTATAGATCCCTCCTAGTTTCATGCAGACTAAGGCAACAAGTGTCTGCCCATTTAGCCTATCTGACAATAACATCTGTATGATAGTTGCAGCCTGTAAAAGACTTTAAACTGAAGACAGAAAACAGATTCTACTGTTGAAGATGATGCATTTTCTGTTATCTATAATGCATAACGCCATCAGAAACTCTAGACCACCCTCCAGGATTCTACAGTCTCTAAACTCCTGGTTGTTCGCCCCTGGGACTGCATTTCCTGTGTGCTGAATTCCTCCATTCCTCATTCCTTCCTATCTGCTGCAGCTGCAGC